TGGAAAGGAAAGGGGGTTTATGTTAATCTGTTGTGACACCAATTGTTTCCCCCCCCCCCCCCAGTGTGAAGTGATGGATCTTTTGCAGAATTGTGTGATGGCAGCTGTGGAGAGTGGCACTTTACTCACAAGACCTGGAGGCTTGCTAGATTTATTGGGGTAGAGGTAGAGAGCGAAGGGGATATAATAACAGAGCATATATATCTATTTCTATGAACTGCAGAATGATTTCACAGGCTCTTCCTTTTTCCTAATTAATTTCCTTTCCAACCATGGCACTTCATTGCCTCAAGCTTGCTTTCTAGGAACTCCAGCACCCCTCAGCCCCGGTCAGCATGGCCAATGGTCAAGGTAGTTTAACGATATCTGGAAGGCACCAAGCTGTGGGAGCTGGTTTTAGGGTGTGTCAGGGACTCGAGCTTCCTATGGGGTCATTTTTTTTGGCAAAGCCTCTTATTTGCTCCTGAAGTAGCTCAGCTGGGTAGAGCATGGTGCTGATAATGATAAGGTCGCAGCTTCAATCCCTGTATGGGACAGCTACATAGTCCTGCATTGCAGAGGGTTGGGCTAGATGATTCTCTGGGGTCACCCAACCCTATGATTCTATGAAATTTCACAATGGCTACATCCTTCACTTACGTGTGTGTGCTTTCTGATTGGTTAACTTGATGAGTGACAGTCTACATAAACCAGTAATAGATTGTATTGTTTTTAGGCACGTCCTCATTGGTGTCCTCCACACAAAGGAGCAGTTGCAACTGCAATTGTTGGGGAAACATACAAAGATATAGTCAACCATCTGGCTAGAATGCTTTTGTTTCCTGTAGCAGAGCAGGTGGCAGGCGCCATGGAATGGGCTGGTCTGTCTATTTCAGTTGCTGATTTCCCTCCTAGTCTTCAAGTTCAGTTCTCCACATGTTCACCACACTTTGTAGTTTTGTTGTTGTTGTTTTTAAAGTCCTCTTGCATTTTAGTGCAAATGCCTCTCTACAGACACATTTTTGTGGGCAATTTTGTAAACCACTTAGAAGTTTTATCACAATCACAATTTTTCTTAAATAAATAAAATAAACACATTTCGCCTAACACATTCATCTTTGCAAAACAATTTCCCCAAATACAATGCATTAGATGTTTTCACTAATGGATGCATTTTATTTTATTTTATTTTATTTTTTGCACACATTTAGACCAGTGTCTGCCTTTTTGGCTGGAAAACTACACTGCAAAATTTCAAGAAGTGCAAATTTCAAAGATGGCTATGTTTCTGTTCCCATATTGTTTTGGAGAGTGTGAATTAGGGAGGATTGCCTTTAAAGGGTCGGATTTCATCTCCTTCCCTAATGGGTGCCAAACAAGTCTTGAAAGTTCCTGCTTCATAGGGGAAGGCAGTGACTGAGCTGGACTCGCCTCCTTGAATACGAATGATGGTCAGAGGCACTTCTCTGTGCAACAGGCAGAGGGAGCTCTTCCCCATCGCTGAGTCCACTCGCCAAGGTTTAATTTGAGTTCAGCTGAGCTGGCAAAACTACCCAGGAAAAAAGGTCTATTGATCATTTTGGCATTTCACCATCCATTTCACCACACATCAGGTGCCAATGTGTGGTAAAATGTATGGTAAAATGTAAACAAGGGTAAGGGTACACATGGTGTGGAGTGTCGTGTTTAGTAGGGACCCATGTTCAAATCCCTACTCTGCCAAGAAGTTCACCAGGTGACATTAATTCACATCCTAACCTACCTCACAAGCTTGTTGTGAAGATTAAAAGGAACTGAGATGAGTCGTGTGGGCCACCCTAAGCCGCCTGATGTTTGTTGGACTCCAACTCCCATCATCCCTGGCCATTGAACATGTTGGCTGGGGCTGATGGGAGTTGGAGTCCAACAGCACTGAGAGGGCCACAGGCTCCCCCTCTCTGCCTTAGAACAATGAAAAGCTGATTGGTTTGCCCCCAAGCCTTGCTGCCCTGAAAACTCTGGGTTGCAATGCATCTTTGCATATCCATTATTCTTTGTCACTTGTGTGAATGATGCAAAGCAGGGTCAGGAGGCGCCCTGCATTGGAACCAAAGGCTGCCACTTATTCCCCCTTCAGGGCTCTGTCATATTAGCCAACCCAATCATATTAGCAGCCCCCCTCCTTTGTATGGCTCATATCATTTCAGGTTAGTATTCATGAGCAGTAATATTATTGGAAAGTGACTTTCATAGCATATTAGCTAACGCGAATGCTAATGCAGACTGATGGAGGGGAGCTAATGTGAATGGGCTGTCAGGCTGCATTAGCACTGCTAATGCCATGCCTAACTCAGGTTAGATGGGCCATGAGTGATGAGCAACTGGCCACATTTCAGTGTAAGCTTCACCTGTACAAAAAGGATGGTCAGGGAGGGTCAATGGTGAGTTTCCCTTCTCAAAGAAAAATCCATTGAGAATTCTCTGCTTGTTTCTCTTTTTTCCAAATCAGTACTTCAGGAGGAGGTGCTCTCTTCTCTTCACTGACTTCTGTGGTTTTCAGACTTTTTGCTTTCAGGGAATGCTTTCTGCTAGGGCTGTGTCAAGCCTCCAGCCCCAGTACTGCAAATCCCTTTCTCTCCTCCACTTATGCACCAGACAGGCACTGTCTCTGTTGTCTTTTTGGCTCCTATCAAAAACCTTCTTTTTCCAACAAGCCTTTTAAATGGTGGTCTTTAGTTTCGTCCATATATGTGTTAGGGATATATACAGAATTGTTTTAAATTGTTAAAGAGAATGGTGCATACATCGAAAATAGAATTGCTACCATATTTCGCTGGACTGAAAATTCAAGATGACTTTGGTGGGTGTTACTAAACACACACACCAACACACACAGAGCCATGACGATTTTGAATGAAGCTAAAATAATCTCATTCAGATCAGAGCAATGTCTCAGGGGGCCGAGTTTGTATATCTCCAATTGAGCTAAATTTCACCTAAAGTGAACAAGTTTGTTGGATTTGCTTTGCCCGAAACATCAGTAGGGATTTCAAAGGAAGGGATTTTGTAGAGTGGATTGCTTAATCCAATCAAAATAAATGTAGCTTTTAAACCTTTTGAATCAAGCTTCCATGCTCAGTTGCTAATGTTACCCTTGGACAAAGGTTCTGCTTCCCTCCAATTTGTTCTGTGACCTTTTGCATTCATTTTTAAAAGAGCGAACAGCAAAGAATCTGTTGAAAGGACTGAGCAACCAAATAAATAAAATAGACCAAATCTTTTTTTACCAGAGAGACATGGCTTTTCTCCCTCCCTCTCCCCATTAGCTGCTGATCATATGCACAGATCACGCATATACAACTTACGTGTGCACTGGTCCTGCACAAAAGTGAGAATGCATGTTTGACCATTTTCCTTCTGCCTCTCCACTAATTCACAATTGTCTTAGGCTGCATAAACCTTTAGAATAAGTGTATGTTAACCTGTAGAACCCTTTGTGAGGTGAAAGCTGGCAAGGTTGACAGGGAGAAAAGAAGCAAAGACCATCTCTGCTGCAGACTAGTAGGATTCCTTCACTTTATATTGTACAGTAAAGTAGACTCAGAATGGATGGTTTTGTACACAATCAGTGTTTCCTTCCATTTTGCCAGGATAGTTCTTGCATGTCATGAACAGAAGATAGTTACACTCAACTTTCCAACAATGGAAAGTTTGGCTTATCCCGAAATTTTAGTCTAGTATACAGGCAGGAGACCATCCTCTGGTTGGAGAAGGTCCAGTAAGCTTTGCATCCTTTCTGAGGAGGTGTTTCCCATAATAAGGACATGACTTCAAGCATGCAAGAAGACGAGCCACAGACAGCTGAGAACAGGTGGCTCTCTAGATCTTGTTGGACTACAGCTCCCATCCTCTGTGATCAATGGCCATGATGGCTGGGGCATATGGGAACTGGACACAAGTATCCATCCCTATAGGGACGTGGGTGGCGCTGTGGTTTAAACTACAGAGCCTAGGACTTGCCAATCAGAAGGTCGCCGGTTCAAATCCCCATGACGGGGTGAGTTCCCATTGCTCGGTCCCTGCTCCTGCCAGTTTGAAAGCACATCAAAGTGCAAGTAGATAAATAGGTACCACTCTGGTGGGAAGGTAAATGGCGTTTCCGTGCGCTGCTCTGGTTTGCCAGAAGCGGTTAGCCATGCTGGCCACATGACCCGGAAGCTGTACGCTGGCTCCCTCAGCCAATAAAGTGAGATGAGCACTGCAACCCCAGAGTCTGTCATGACTGGACCTAATGGTCAGGGGTCCCTTTACCTCTACCTTTATCCATCCCTATCCTTGAGTATGACATACAACAGTTAAGTCATTGCTTGAAGAGGGCTAATGAAAAAATACCAAGGGGGGGGGAATACAGTCAGAGATGTAGTTATAGCCACCAATGTGGATGAAGTGGAAAGAGGTTTAGACAATTCCATAGAGGGTATAAATGTCTATTGGCTCTGATGATTATGTTATACTTCCAATGTCCAGGGCAGTATGCCTCTAACTACCAGGTGCTGGTGGGAATCACTAGTGGGGAGAGTGAGGTTGTGTTCAGTTCCTTATGTGGTGTGGCTCACTGTGGTCTGGTTTTTGTACGTTACTGTGGGAGGCTGGGGGACTGATTTATAACCAAGTCTCTTAACGAATAAGTTAGACTAGATAGCTTTTTGCTGCACTGCTTTCCAGCTCTGTGATTCTGTGGCCTCCCTGTAGCGCTCACTGAAGGAAACTCGGCCTCTTCTGCAGTGACTTATCTCTAAAATTGTTTGCACACATGGAGAACTGAGTCCAGTGCTGAATTATAGCAATGGCTTGTGAGCTCTCTTCTCCAGATAAAGTTTGTTATCATTTGAGTTGAGACTATGGATCTTGTGCAGCAGAAATACTTTCTCCAGGGACCACTGAGTTGGTGCAAAGACAACCTGTGCTCGCTCTTGCTCTCTTTTAATTTGCAGAGAATACTAATTTCACATCTCACAATACAGTGGACAAATAAGCAGAAGTACCACATACAAAAACATTTTTATTAGTTAGTATATTTTGCTTCTTAATGCAATGCTCAAACTAGGAATACAACTTGGCAGAAGTACATACACATATATTGCATGTAGATTTTTGTGTGTGTCTCCAAAATATTTCAGATTCTCTTCAATTCAGCCCCACATGAGGTTTCTTAAGTTGAAGCCCTGGCCTCTGAATGGGTTACAGCTCCACATATCCTGCATAATGCATCGTAATGTCACTAATGCTGAATCCTGTGATCTTTCCTCCCATACCCTCCACCTTGGATGGATGGCAACATTATGTACAGATTCTCAGAGGTATCTCTCTCCATCATGCTTCACTTTCTCTGCATGAATACTGTGTAAATTATATGTATATCTATACAGATTATATAAATATATATCTATAATATATATATGTATATATGTATATTACGATGGTTGGGCTTTGCAAAGTCAACCATAACATTTGTGCTTATCTTATTTCTATGAGATCAAAGATACGGCATCATCAAGAATGCAGCCCGGACCCAGCAGCCTTGCCAATAATGATCTTAATTCAGCTCATTATCTTCCTTGCCGTCAGTGTCCACACATCCTTTATGAGTAATGCACTCTCTCATTCTTACAGTAGTTTTTAAGACAAGAATTCTAGCCTTTGTAAAGGAACAACAGGATTTTAAAAAGAAAAGGAAAGGAAAAGTGAAAACCCAAAACACAACCCAAAAGATCTCAGGAAGGATTGCACCCTTCCTCGTACATATAGTTTGAAGAGTAATCAGACATTCATTGTAGCTTTATTTACATTGTAACTCAAAAGTTCAACAATATTACAGGTGTTGTATTATATCTGTACATAGCCAAGTGATGGTTGGATCATGTCAAAACACGTCACTGGTAGGTATTTACAGATGGTATTTAGCCTCTAGCTCAACACTGTCCTCCTCAATATGGCACCAGTAGTTACAGATAAATTGTTGAAAGTCCATTTATTAATGACCCTTGGCAGCCCCTTACTAACACTATTATGCAGTTTGGTACAGGATGACCAATCTTTGGGGTGCAACTGTAAAGATGACATGGAATCACCTGTGGCATCCAGACATCCTGTATCCTCCCAGAAGATACGGTAGGAGGGCATAAAGGAGTTTGTCTGCAGTCACTCTCAAGTTTGTCCCTTTGGCAGGGCTGGGGAAACACAGTTGGATCCCCCATTTCTCAACTGTCTATTTCCAGTAATTAAACATCATTTGGTCAAAGTGTGAGTACATCAAACACATGATAAGATACATTTCTCCACAATGGATACTGGGACCAGAACTTTTCCAACATGTAAGGTTTTTCATACCACATTCTTGCCTGTGATCATATGACACAACATCCCCTTCTTTGTCTTGAGGATGGTGAGCACCTGCAGTTACTTCTTGCTGGCTATGGCGAAGGGTAGGGAGGGAAGAACCCACTCTGGAACATGGTTCTTTCCGTAATCAACAATAGGAAACCATGTGTTAACTCTGTTCATGCTTGCTTCATTATTCCACCAGGATATTGGCTGCCAGGAGGTCCCCCCCATGTGATTTGGAAGGCTATCTCCATGATTAGGAGAGCATCTCTCATTGCCCAATTGAGCCATAATCATGCCAGAGAAGCCTTTTACTATAGGGAGTACCATGCGAGTATGCCTTCATGTGAATCGTGCAGCATCTAGCTGCCCAGATGTTCTGTCTTCCCAATGCCCATCCCACCAACAGGATGACACAAAAACTGGGCCTTTGTCACATTGAATCCAGTAGAATTAAACTGCTTTAGGTAGAAGTGAATAATTTTGTACAAAATGCCGATTCTTTTAGCAACTTGAGGGGCATGCAAGATGTTGGGCACACCCAGTGGGGTTTGGAGTTGTACCTAGAGTTGATAACTGGGCCTAAGTTAGACATGTTCATTAATTTCAATGGGGCTGTTCTGAATAGGCCCAGTATTGGAGACAATTTCTTTTCTTGAAGAAGTAGAGCCTTCAAGAGCCTCCTTCTCCCAATTCATACCCACCCAAGCACCACTCTAGTGGCTGGTCACCCACCCACCACCACAGAAAGTTTGTAGGGGTGGGACATGGTGCTGAGAGAAGGACTGGGCTGTGTGACTGCAATGTTGCCCTCATAATGCCCCCACAGTGCCTCTGTTGCAAGTGTGTTCACACATTACATTCAACAAGTGTTTGGTCTGTACACAGATGTGTACACAGTTTGGCTGTCACAACACTCTTCACTTGTGATGGTTCATGAGTGTGCAGCCCGTGTACACAACCGCTGAGCTGTACAAACCAAAAAGAGTACACTCTCACACAAACACTTGTGCATGGGTAGAGACAGCTTATACTTGTGTTCATTGTATTGTCTGAACAAGCCTAGAGGAATGCTATGTCAGGGACTAGATCCAAAGCCAATGAAAGGAAGAAAATGGCTGCTACTATAGCCCTCAGCTGCAGTGGCCCCAGGCCTTGCCCAAACATGTTGTGTGCCAATGCCAGCCCTGTCCTCGAGACAAGTGTTTCTCCACATTTCTGCAATATGCTTTCTGTTTTAGAAATGGTAGCTATGTGAACACTCAACCTGAAATGGATTTTACTATCTTGCTACATATATAAATATGAGACTGACTTCAGGTACAATTGAAAGCTCTTGGCTTCTTGAATAGGGCCAACCTTCCCACGTAGTAATGTCCCAGCTAAGTTCAGAGGTGTACACTCCAGCTCCCACTAGGCTGAGACCTTCAAACATTGCAAGAATGAAATGCCTAAAGGATGCCTCACACGAGAGAGGCCTAAATTTGGTAAGCTGCCATAAGATTGCTTCCATCCACACCAAAGTCCAGTTTTGTTTCAATGCAGGTAAATATTTTGTCATTCCACGCTGCAAAACCCTTTAGGAATCAATCTACAATGTTTTGGTAAAATGTCCACTTGCCAGAAATAGGGTTTTCACATGATACAGTTCAGACACATTGAAACAATATATGGAAACTGGAAAGAAGGCTATTGCTAGGGGAAGCAGGCTGGGGAATCTATTTCAATTGCTTCCGCTTCCTTCAAAACGTCTGATGATAATGTTTCAAAACGGGAAGCAATTGTAGGGGTTGTGTTGATGGCTTTGGATGCAACACTGAAGTAGGCAAAGGGGCTGAGGACAGGAAGCACAATTGTGTCACATTTCTACTTTTGTCTCTCTCCCTTTATAGCATCTGAATCAGAAACTTGCACATATATCCCTCAGGGGAAAGATGCATTGTTTTTGGAGCTCCTCACAGATTTATATAGCTATTGCCTGGGAGTTAAAAAGAAGAAAAATGGGACTAGGAGCTGCCGACTTTTGAATTTGCCTGTTGCCATTAATTAAACATCAGTTTGATCTGTAGAAGTTTACAGGTGACCCCATTTATCTCCATCCAATAAAAAGCTTCAGCTTGATTTCTGCTATATGTCTTATGTGGCCACCCTGTCTCATTAATGCAGTTACTTTATCCCATGAAACACTTTTGATTTACAAATAGATTCATCAGAGAAACAGATGGGTGGAAGGCATATGCTATAGATTGGTGTTCTTCAACCTTGAGGTCCCAGATGTGGTTGGACTACAACTCCCATCACTCCCAGCCAGCTCAGCCAATAGTCAAATATGATGGGACCTACAGTCCACCAACATCTGAGGACCCAAGGTTGTGGACAGTGCTATGGATCAGTACTGAATGAGACGCATTCTTGCAAGTGACCCTTTCAGAGTGATTTAGATGCTCACAAATTATTCCTGATATGATACGGTCTTGTTGGTGACAGCAGCAATAGGTGCAGTGGGAGCACTTATTTGACCTCCCATCACCAGTGTCACTGCACTGTACTGGGAGGGAGAGGCAAGAGATAGTTGGTGAGGTTAGTGTGATGCAAGCACATCAGCAGGAATGTCAAGTTGGATCTGCAGCACACTGGCCTCACCCCTACCCCTCTTGATGATGGGAGGTCAGGTAAATTCCACCTTCCCACTGACTGCAGCTGGTTGGTGATCAGTCACCATTCAAGAATGATTGGTATAGAACATCAATAGTGCATCCTCTCTTGGCAACATAGCCTAGAAATAACCTACTTGTTTTCTCCATACAAATCTCATTTGGGAAAATCATAGGGCTGGTCATCCTTCCTTCAATGAGTAAGGCTAATTGATAGCTTAACCTTCCAATTTTGCCTTGTTTGCATGCAAGGAAAAGGATCCCAAGTAAAGGGGTGCAGGATCCTTTCTCAGTGTGTGTAGATTCTGCAAACAGAGGTAGGGTTTATTATTGCTGCCAATGATTCTTTCGTCTCTTTCACTGCAGTGCCCAGTCAAAAGCTGCAGCAAGTTGGGAACACGTAATTGACTTTGTCAACCTGCTAAGCAGTCAGGAGTCAAGTGACAATTGGGAAGCTCAAAGGCACCATTTTTTTTTAAAAAAAGAGAAGAAATTGCATTTACATCCAACAGAAGCAGACTTCAAAAGGGGAGATGTCATGGTGTGAATGCCAAGGAGCCATGTAGGCCTGAGACAACAAGGAAAGCCATGAGAAATTGAACAATCCCTTTAGAGATTCCCAATGACTTAATCTTTACTTGAAAGGTGAAATCATTAAGTAGCCAGGAGGGATTTGTTTCAATGGTTCTGCTCTTATTGATTCCCAGCCCCAGCCCCACCCACCAGAATGAATTAAAAATCTATCAGTTTTCAAAGACGGAGGGAGAGAAGCATGAATCCTTAAAGGGTGAATAGTTTTGATTGTCAGACAAGGGAAGAGAGTTGGATTAGTATTGTACAAATATATGATACATCTATTCATTGTGTATATCTGCAGTTATTCTGTCTCGTGTGAGCAGTGCGTAATGGAGGGGGAATACAGAAGAGCATAGCTTGAGATTGTTTTCAGAACAGGAGTGATGGTGTTCTTTATCAGAGTGAAATTGACAGACCTTCCTTGCTCTGGTAAGTGAATGAAGTGATAACACTTTCAGATGCTTCTGCAGTTTCTACATGCTCAAAACTTAAAAGGTAATATGGCTAACTCAGATCCATTGATTTTCAATGGGTCTACTCTGAGTATGATTTAGTTAGAAACAACCCAATAGCCTTAAGTAAATCCATTGATTTCAGTGGGTCTACTCTCACTATGACTAAAGTTGGAGACAAACCTATGACTGAGACGGGTATGATGGGATATGTATGAAAATATAATTTATTTTCTGAATCACAGAAAATAACCTCCCTCTGAGATATATATATATATATATATATATATGGCATAGGGATGATAAGAACAAAGCAAGGGAAGAGAAAAATAAGGCAAAGTAAGATGCTGTTAGAACTTTAATTCAAAAATTTTCCTTGTAAAGACGGACCTCACAGCCCTTAGTTTCTTATCTTTTAGGCATCATCTTCCAAGCATTTTGGTTCTCTCAGGCATCTGCATTGTTTGTACTTCAAAGCAGGATTGGGGAGAATTGAAGTACTGAGGCATTTGCTCTGTTGTTTTGATTGCTATTTCAGCAATTGCCAGGAGGAGGAGGGATAAGGCAGTAGGGAAGTTGGTGCGGTGCAAACACACTGGCAGAGCCAATCTGGTGCTCCTGCCAATACATTTGCACCTCACCTCAGTGGCGTAGCGTGGGTTGTCAGCACCCGGGGCAAGGCAAGTAATTTGCGCCCCCTAACCCGTGGATTTGCGCCCCCTAACCTGTGGATTTGCGCCCCCTAACCCGTGGATTTGCCCTAACCCCAGATGTTGTGCCCGGTGCGGCTGGCCCCCCCTGCACCCCCACGCTACGCCACTGCCTCACCTACCTCACTGCTGCCTTGCTCCTCTCCCTGATGGTAAGCAATAGCAACCCACCTTCTGGGGATGCATCATTAAAAAAGAATACAAAGGAGGACTCTATTCTACATAAAATTTGCATGTGTTGATTTATATGCATAGGTACAAATGTAGAAAGAATCACTATAATTTAAATAGAAATATACTACATCTCACCATAGCAGGGAAGACTATAAACATGTGACTTGCGTGCCTGTTCAGTCTGCTGCCCCAGTGGCTACCTAATGGCCTTTGCTGCTCTCCCTTTTTGTGATCCAACAGCAATTGATGCAAATGGAACTTCTGTGAATTTCACTGCACATTTTATAAGATGTGTGTAATAAATCAAAATTCTCTCTCTCTCTCTCTCTCTCTCTCCCTCTCCCTCTCCCTCTCCCTCTCCCTGTCCCTCTCTGGCTTGGAAAAAATTTTTTTGAACCACTGCTGATGTTTGCAGAACAAACCTATCATAGCTCTAAACTGATCTGGTCCCCAAATAACACCCAGTGAATATGGATTTTTTGTGTTCCGTTTTCTCTTGCCTACTGAGCATTCTACAAGTCTTATTGCAATGCAACAAAGGCCTAGTTTTGGCTGAGGTGGTAAATGTTAATTCAGGCTGTACTGTTTTAGATGTTTGGGGTTTATGTGATTCAATACTCCTCTGTATAAACCTGAATTCCTTCTACTTAAAACATTAGATGGAAGACGATGCTAGAATCCTTTTTGACATGTCAGTTTTCTACAACTGCATTCAGAAGTCACATCCAAATAATTGTTTGCAGGAAGAGGAGCAAGCCTTGTCTTCATGTGTTCCCTCCTGCCTCCTTGTATGCCCATTTTTGTCAAGTCACAGGATATCTGAAGTGATAAGATGTGGTTTGAATGATTCTTCCAAATCAGGGTTTGCATACAATATTTTGAATATTGGTATGGAGGAATCTTTCATACTAGTTTGCTGTTTCAGATGTCACAGGCAATGTTTGTTTCACAAAATCTATTAAGCGGTGAATGCAAGGGGAACAGGTGGGAGTATGAACATAAGTGGCTAATTTCTAAGCATCCTAACTAGATGTAGTCAATGTGGTACCTCCAGATGTTGCTGGACTCCATCATCCCCAGCCAGTATGATCAATGGTCAGGAATGATGGGAGTTGTAGTCCAACAATATCTGGAGGACACCATGATGGCTGGGTACATGGCTCCAAACCATGATTTGGAGAATCAGTGAATGTTTCATCTGAACACAACCTATGTGTAGGGATCCCGCCCCCCCAGAATGGATTCCAGTCTGTCTCTCCCACCCCACAACTTGGGATCTAAAGTGATACAGCACAGTGACAGGTATACCACATCTGTTACTGAGAACTTGGGCTTGTAAACAAAGCCTACAAGGTGTGGTGCCTCAATGAAAAAGCTACTATTTTGAAATCTTACTTTGGAAGACTACATACTGAGATAACTAATCAATTTATTTGTTTAGTGAACTTCAAACAGTTGGTGTTTCGTATCTCCCAATTTTGGGGGTGGGCAGGGAGAAGAACCTGTACAAAGGTAGTTTTTGGAAACAAAAAACTTATGAAGATTTATTTGCTTAATGAGCAGGAAACATAAAATTAAGAGGTGAGATGGATGGGCAAAATTCAATGGGGACCATTTTTCTTTCTGAAGTGCACAAGCTAAAGAGACTCATTGGGATGTTTTGCCATTTCACAGACCAAACTGACTGGGCTGCAAATGCCCCCAATGCTTCATTTTCAAAAGCCTTTGGCTAGTCACTGTGGCTTGCCAAATGATAAAGGGGCCACTTGGTTCCATTTTCCCACTCCATTGGACTGCCCATCGGTGCTATGTGAAGTCTGACCCAGTTAAAAAGGAAGAATCAGTTACCATGTGGCACCTGTTAACCAATCACGGCTTCCAGTGGTTGCAACCTAGCCAAATCCCAGCACTTTTAAGTCTTCTTGACTTAAGATGGAGCAAGTGTAGCGTGTGCTTAAAAGCCTGGCTGAAACCATGCCCGTTATGAGGTAATATACTATTTTTTTTCTGATGCAGATTCAAGCAGCAGGAGAGAGGTAAATAATTAATAGTAACATCCATCAAATCCCACCACTTTTTAAAATTATGGAATCTGTTGAGCTGATTGGACTGTTCCGTGTCTCTCTCTTCCAGTCATTGAAGCGTTCCATACAGGAAGGATATTGTTGAACGATTCCCCCACCACCACTGTTTTCAAGTGAACATACACACAGACAAACAAAACTAGCAACTGCCAGGCCAGAAGAACTGACAAAGATGCAACCCTCAGTGGGGTTGTCCTTCTCACTGAAATGCCAGTGCTTTTGTGCAGATCCCTTTCAGATGAAGCAAACCTAAACGGGCTTCACACAAGAGAACGCTTCCCCAAAGAAGAATGGATTCAAAAGCCCTTCTGCATGAGACTACCAGAGATCTGGGCATGTTGCCTCAAGTTCATATCCTCAGCTGGCCTGCCCACCCTTTCCTGCCTCCTAGTGATTCACTGACAGAAAAGTGGTGATCTCTGAAGTGTAGTTGTCGGAGATGGAGCACATGTTGTCCCCCCCTCCATCCCATCAGTATGTGTCCTATAGCCTTCTTGGTTTCATTCTAGAGCATAAAGTGCTGTGGCATAGTTTTATAAAACTTTGAACTTCCTTCTCCCTTCCCCACACCCCGCTTATTACTGTTTTACCTTGTAGCTCCTATGTTCTTGTAATGACACATAAGGAGGTGCTTAAAGGTTTTCTTGAAGGTAGCATTGCAGAGCGCATAGCAGGCAGGATTGATGGTGCTATTGATATAGCACAGCCAGTAACCAATGGTCCATACTGTGTTGGGGATGCAAGACGCACAGAAGCTGTTGATGAGGACCATGACATTGTATGGTGTCCAGGTAATGATGAAGGCCAGGAGAATAGCCAATATAGTCCTGGTCACCTTTTTCTCCCTGGAAGGAGGTGTCTTCTTTTTGGCAGGCTGCTTAGTCATCTTGACAATCTTACGTGCTACAATGTTCTGCTTCTCATCTCCATTTTGCCCATCGGGACCTACAATCTCCACGGTCGTGTTGGTAGAACCAGAACAGTCACCTTTCGGGGACTTTGTGAGTATCCTAATACATGTCAATTTGGAGTTCTCCACTTTGGCATTGACTTGGGAGGCAGAAGCCCTGGTGTCCTCTTTGATGGGTTCATCATCTTTCACATTGGAAGCCACAGCGCTGACAGAGGTGGAGTCATTAGAACTTTCCTTCTCCTCTGCAGTAACACAGTTTTCCATCACTGATTCCCCTGTGGCTTTACCATTCTGAATTTTACCATGTTCTACCCCATCTTCATTAGTTGGAACATTGTTATTGTTTGGTTTTACTATTTTACCTTGGACCAAGCTTGGAGAAACTGGATCCTGGTTTTGCCCACTCCCCTTTTTGTCTTTTTTAATCCTGCTCTTACTGGCGCGAGATATTTGCCAGTAAAGAATAGTCATGATGATAACAGGCAGGTAGAAAGCGGCAATCGCTGTGCCAAAGGTGACGGCTGCATTGGACAGGAACTGAATGTAGCATTCCCCATCGGGGACAGTCCTCTCCCCTACAATGAACTGCCAAAAAAGAATTGCGGGTGCCCACAAGATGAACGACAGCACCCAGGCCGCGGCGATCATCATACCTGCCATCTTAGTGGTCCGCTTGACAGGGTAAGTCAGAGGCTTGGTGACGCAAAAATATCGGTCAAAACTGATAATGAGAAGGTTCATGACGGAGGCATTGCTGACCACATAGTCAAGAGCCAACCACAAGTCACAAACCACAGGTCCAAGCGGCCAATAGCCAATCACAGTGTAAAGTGTGTACAGGTTCATGGAAAAGACACCGATGATCAAGTCCGCACATGCCAAGCTGAAAAGAAAGTAATTGTTGACAGTCTGCAGGTGCCTGTTGACTTTAATGGACACCATCACCAGGATGTTCCCAATGATGGTCACGAGACTGAGGGAGCCAGCCACCAGGACGATGAATACTACCTCAACTGTTTTATAAGGACTCCCCAGAGGCATCACATCCTCCAAATAGCTTATGTTCGTCGAGTTATTCATGTCTGCGTCTAGCAAACTGGTAGATAAATATCACTTAAGCCTGCAGAGGAAAGAAAAAGAAAACAAAGATGGTGAGGCATTTCAGTTTATGCAATTTCTGGCAAATGGAGCTCAAGGAAAGGTGAGACGCAAAGGAATGAAAATCCCAAGGAAAATTCAGGAGTTTCATCAATCAACGCTCAAGTTAAATGTTTCATCTTACATTGATTATAATGGGACTTTGGCCTGTTTAGTTTCCCCTGGATTACGCCTCAAGATGCAAAATATGAATTAAGTTATTTAGGGGAAAGAACAAAAAGGATAATGTTAAAATGAAACACACACGTACACACGGAAACGTATTATTTATTATTTAAAAAAGTACATGTTTAATTCAAAACTCTGAAGTGTGGCCTCTTCCTTGTAATGGTGTAGCTGTAGGGGAAGTTTGATAATGACATGTGGAGGAAGGTGGCTCAGTTAAAGACCAAATTTAAGACACCTGCTGCCCTCTTAGTGTATCAGGTAAGACTCCTTCTGGAGATGTGCAAAACTCTTGAGAGACATGTTGGAGCAAAATCCTTTTATCCCTCTGCAAATTTTCATTGAAATACCCTGAACTGTCCCTTGACCCTGCCTTGTTTTGCCGTTGCTGGCAGGCTCTCCTTGGTGTTTCCTACATGCTTTGGAAGATATCACTTCTGCCTTGTACTTGCAGACAGACGGTAGCCTGTCTGACCAAAATGTAGAAGCACTACTCTGCCAGTGCATCTGTGCAGCCGGAGTCTCCCCAATGTCTTAGGGTGTTTTTTGTTTTTTACAAAAACACCAAATAAATGCGATCTTTCAATTGACTTGCCTAAGATCCAGGACAAAGCACCACCTTTCAGAAATCCCTGGCAATGTCCAAGGAAATCAGCACATCTGGCAGCCCTACACTGTCTCAACCCTTCTAGTGACACTGCTGCCAAAAGGCTGTTGCTGTGACTCCACCCTGCAGGGTGAGCTGGACCTGATGAGAACTCTTCTTCTGGTCTATACTTGTTGACTTCTGCCTGCCTTGCAGAAGGTAGAGATCCTCTTCTACATTAAAAAAACCCAAACCCAATATAGCACCTTAGGGGACAGGCTGGCCCAAGACATGTTGCTAATGATCACTCACCCCACCCCATCAAACATAGTACCCAAGAGTAGCTAAATTATTTTAACACCTGGAGTAGAAAATCTGGCAAGTACCTCTCCCACTCCCTGGCAGAAAACATACAGTAATAATAAATCACATAGCCAGCTGCTGTTGGGTTTCTATTCCTCTCACTGTGCAGATATGTAGGATTGGTTCATCACATGTCTGTGTTATGCATTCCAGCACTGGAATCATGGGAACGGATGTTTACTGTACTCTGTTTCCATTTGTTTTTGCTTTCACTTCCGACTTCTCTCCGAGGAAGACCAGAGAGAGGAGACATGTTTTCTTTTGTTTATGCTTAATAAAGTAGCTTTAGTGCTTACAACCCCAGCCTAGCTCTGTGTGCGTTTATCTCTGCTGGACTCTGAATATGTGCTCAGGGTCTCCAAGACATGAGTCATTATAAATCGTTGGGGAAGGTGATTTGGAACTCCCTAGAGCTGCAAGCTGCAAGCTGAAGGGAGAGACAGACTGGAATCGTTCCTGTCGTATACCTGAGGGTCGTCCTAGCCCCCGGCCAACCCGACAGTTGCTGCCCTTTCCGCAACACTCAAAATCAACTGCCTGAGGTGGCCACCTCACTGTGCCTAATGATAGGGATGGCGCTGGAGAATGCAAGCAATAAAAATGTGACACTGGAATATTTCTATGAAGTAGCCATCCTTTGCTTCTGACCTGATTTCTCGCCTACCACACTCCCATTCCTGACTAGTACATGACAAAAGGAAAGGAAAAACTCATCCGTCTGGGCGTAAGCACAGCAAAGTGACTTCATTTTGCATACCACGGGAGTGAGAAAATTGTCTTGTGCTCCTAACCTGATGACAAGCACATTCCATCTCTCACCACATGAATCATACATTTTCACTGCCGATTTTGCCTTTTTGAGATAGTGGTAACAAAGGAGAAAGACAATATGACACACACACACACACACACACAGAGAGAGAGAGAGAGAGAGAGAGAGAGAGAGGCAAGAGGGAAATAATGTGTGATTCTCAAGGAAGTAGATGGATCAGGCCAACGGTCTATCTAGTCCAGCATCCTGCTTTTACAGTGACCAACCAGATGCCTCTGGGAAACCCAAGAGCAGGACCTGAGCACAACAGCACTCTCCTGTCTTGCAGTTTCCAGAAGCTAGTATTCAAAGGCATACTTGCCTGTGAAAGTGGAGGTAGAACATAGCCATCATGACTAGTAGCCATGGAAAGCCTTCTCCTCCCTGAATTTGTCTCATCCTCTTTTAAGCCCATCCAAGTTGGTGGCCATCACTACTTCTCATGGCAGCAAATTCCATAGCTTAATTTTGCACTATGTGAAGAAGTCCTTTCTTTTGACTGTCCAGAACCCTCCAGCATCCAGCTTCATTGGATCCCTCAAAGTTCCATTGTTATGAAGGGGAAATACCTGTGCAGATTATTCAACATACAGGGTGTGGGGAAATGTACTCTATGGCCCTGTAAATTTCATGGAACATGTGATATTAGAAATGTACATTTAGTGATGCTACCAGGGCAAGACTTGGGGGCAGATGTCCACTAAGCAGAATGAGCATGAGGGCTTACAAATGCAGCAGGGTTGGCTAATCCATTACCATGTAAAGATAAGGGAGTGTAAGCTCATTAAGTCCATAGTAGGGATTGGGGAGAAATTTGGCTCTGTTTGCCATTTAATGAGCAATGAGCTTAATTTGTACTTCTCAAATCAATATGCTAAACTGAAACACAGGTACCTTTCAAAATCCACACTTCTCTGACTTTTGCAATGCAGTTCTCCAACCAAATTGTACCAAAATACATGTATTAAGAAAAAGTTGGTATATAAATGCATGTATTAATGAAAATACCAAAAAATGCACTGTATTAAAGAATATTGCTATATTAGATGCAAAATCTGACATTGAGGCAGCAACCCATATCTACTTTCAAGGAGAAAGCCCATTGATCTCAATAGGACATCATTCTGAGTATACATGACTAGGATTGGGTTACAATCCAATCCCAGTAATGTGTATTCATAATTCTTTTCGAGCTTTGCTAAGAATGCATTCTTCATGTCTCAATGGGTTTCCCAGAATAAGTTCACTGAAATCTCAACTGTCACAAAATTTAACAAGGACTTGGAGGTTCTCCACAGGAGAAACATTTGAGGAATTTCAAAGAAAAGACAGATAACAATTCCGATGCTTATTTTTAAGTCAATGGGGTTAAGACTGGGCTCCTGCAAGAGTCAGCTGCTATGAACATGGTAGGGAGGGAAAGACCTACCCCTAATCTGGGATCGAAATGGAGTGATCGCTCTGATCTCCTCTAAGGCCTGCAAGCAGGACGAAAGCACTACAGCACTTTCAGAAACATGACTATCTCCAACATTCTGTATATCTATGGACGGGTGTATAGCTGTAGCTGCCCTTTGTGCTCCTTCAGATTCCTACCCCGTTTTCCTAGCTTCCTGTCACCTAGAATTTCCTGCAGGATCCATAACACCAATGGCATTTGCAACCCTGGCATTTTCTGACTACCCTAATGATAGGATTTTTTAAGAGCACAGCAAAGAAACTTTTGTGCATGCTTTGAAGCAGCAAGTGGTGATTCACAGTTGTGTAACATTAGCTGAACAAATGTACATTATGCCTCTGGTGAGAACGGAAATAATGCCAAATAAAAATATTCCCCTGAGAGCAGCAAAGCTGGTTTATTAATGGAAGGCTATGGTCTGCCTCCCTATTACCTGCCTTTACTCCAGCCTGAGGAATTGCACGGCACTTAATTACTGCTGGCTCACCGCTGTTGTAATTGTCTGGAACTGGTTAAAAGAATGACTTAAGCACAAATTACTCTAGATCAAAGCTGCCCTTCTGAGCAATTTCAACATCACTAGCCTGACAATCAGCTATTTATCCATATAGTGGTGGGAAATGTGCTTTGAAACAGGGATTGAGGCTGCTCTGGTGTTTGTTAAGGGTTGTGGGACTGGATGCTCACAACACCTCACAGTATATGCTAGGGCAGTGTTTTCCAAACTTGGGTATACGGCTGTTGTTGGACTACAACTCCCATCATCCCTAGCTAGCAGGACCAGTGGTCAAGGGTGATGGGAACTGTAGTCCAAAAACAGCTGGAGACACAAGTTTGGGGCACACTGTCTAGAGCAGTGTTTCCCAACCGGTGTTCCGCGGCACACTACTGTGCCGCGAGACGTTGCCTGGTGTGCCGTGGGAGGGAGGCAGGTGAGTCGCATGGCGTCTCGGCGTCGGGCGGCAGCGATCCCAGGAAGCGGCCCAGCCGGCCGGGGTCGCCCGCCTGCAGCAGCGCCTCGCACCCGCACGAGACCTGCTCCGCCGAGAAGCGGGCGAGCGCGGAGGATCGGGCGCGGCGGAGGCCAGCCCCGCGCTTGGAGAGGACGCAGCAGCCGTCGCCAAACCCGATCCTCCTCCTCCTGCTCCGCCGCCGTCCTCTGGCTCTCAGCCGGGAGGAGCCTGCGGCGACGGGGCGGGCGCCGAAGTTGGCAGAAGTTGGCGCGCCTCCTCGGCAGCGCCTTCGTCCTCCTCCTGCTGCCTCTGCTCTCCTCCGGCGGCGGGGGCGCGCCGCCCTCCCCGGCCGGGGGGCTCAGCGGGGCCCGCGGGGAAGGAGGCCATGTTCACGGCGTGCGGGATCGCGGCCCCCCTCGCCCGCCTCCGGCCCGCTCCCCTCCCCTGCGCGCTGCCCTAGCCGTGCGGGTCTCCTCCCCCTGCGCCGCCGTCCCCTTTCCACATCCTAGGAGCCGCGGTCCGCCTACCGCCCCCGGGCTGCGGCGCGGCTCCCAGCCCGGGCTGGCCTCCGCCTCCTGGGACGCGCGCCCACCCCCGCGGCCCCCCAAACTTCAGAGCAACTCTC